GAGTTGAAAGTGACTACGGAAATTATGTGTATTACAAAATTGTATCAAGAAAGAATAAACTAGTTTTAATAAAGAAGGGACTTGTATCACTGAAGTTCCTCGGAAAGAGTTTATACCGGAGATTAACAAACGAACAGAGACCTAACAATACCAATAAATTTGTACAATTTCACATGTAATCGATCGAGTTACTGAATATATCTGATAACTAACGCTAATCTGATAATTACACTAATTTCTCAATCACCGAATTAAATTTAAACCGACTTATTGCTTTACTTATTTTCGCCTTTAAAATGTATTTCTTTTTCTAGGAGTTTGGCAAAGCGTCTCGGCCATTAGCATTCGCAAACATTCTAGGTATTCTTACAAACAACTAAATTCAAGCAATTATAGCATACAACAATATTTAGTTTTGATCTGTGTAGGTAACTTTCTTTGACCAGAAGTTAAAATTAATTAGTGATCACGGGAATACAAAAGTCGTTAGAAAAATATAATTGACGTTTACTAGGTGTTTTCCTAAAATTTTCTTTTAAAAATATTAAGAGCAGTTAGGTGTAAAAAAAAAAATGTCAATGTTATCATATGCAATCAATGAAAAGGGTAAATCGCTTTCTACTGTCAAAATTCCAACAAATTACACTTACACATAGCAGGTGGCACTGTATGATAGTGAGATGATGGTCGAAATGCAAACTAGCGTACTGTTTTACAAATAAACATGGACAGAATCTCGATGAAGAAGGATCATTAATTCTAGAAGTATTCAATCTTATTTGTACGCCTTCGATTTTATTATAGCATTGGCTATTATGACTGGTCTTCAACCCCAAAAATGATTTTTTTTATTATTATTATCAGATACTACAAATATTCTACATTTCTGGTTGAGGAAGATACTTTCACACCTGTACACATTCTAATTCTATTCTCAGTACTAGCATTAGACTGCTATAGCAGACCGAATTTAATTTCCAGTTTCCATTTCGTTGTTATTACTATTTTTTAAAATCACACTTTTGAAGCACTCTGAAACTTGCATGTGACTTGATACAAAAACTATTAAAGAAAGAAAGACTGTGAGTCTCCATAGTTCTTTTTCCACCAGGGAACATATTGCTTATTATATCCAACATATTCTGGAAAACAAAAATTCTAGAAATAGTTTTTCCAAAATTTGTAGTAACTTTTTCTAAAACAAGGCCAAGAGCTAGGCATTCTGTTTGAGAGAGAGTATGTTCATATTGAACACACAAGAGTTTAATGATTGTTACTGGTTGTCCATTTTGTTTTAAATACCTTATGGCCGCAAAGGAAGTTTAAGGTTTCTGTGGGGATAGATTGTGCATAGAACAGAGTTATAAATATAAGGTTGTCCTGAGACCAAACTCTCTGTATATTGTGATTGTTAGATAATAATCATTATTCATTCTTTACACCTGCATTTTATAATATTATTTATTTCTTAGGCTACATTTGTTAATAGTTTAACATTTTATTGGTGCTTTTGTTGATTTAAATGTTACTAAAGTTTACTGTTTTTAATTTGTGAGACTTTTTCTTTTGATTTTCTGTTAATAACATGCTCAGTGTTTTTAAAACATTCGAGTGAAGTCTCTCTAATACTACTAGGCACATCTAAATTGCATAATCTTGCTAGAATTATTAACTCTGGCTTTTTAGAACCCTGAGTGAACTATTGATTGATGTTGTATTAATTTCAAGTTGAGTAAAATGCTTATACCCTGTACATCTTACTTTGTTAGAGAAGAAACCAGTTATTCTATTTATCATCCAAACACCTACTAGCAAGAGAAGATAAGATACAGGCAATAGTCATAGAAACACTTTCTTATTTAAACTACAGGTTCATGGGTTATATATGACTACTAAGTAGAGGTATGATATCATAATCTATGCTCCTATAGACTAGTTCAGCAAGTATACAGAGAGACCCCCCCCCCATGACCTTCCTCATGTCATCCTGTATCACTGTGTCAAGAATTGGTGATGATTGGTCAAGAAATGTGGAAACTTATAAAGGAATAGATATGAAGTGACAGATATATGACTGTGTATTTTTTTCTACTGACACACACACTTTGCTTTATATAGTAGATACCTCACTCACAGTAAACTATCTTGTCCAAGCTTATAAGTGCTAAAATACAGCTTTAAGTGCTCTGCTTTATTCCAAACTTGTAAATTCTAGATTTCTGGTCCTCAGTTTGCCTTCTGCTAACTCACTTTGGGTGATAAATGGAATGGTTGCATGATTACGGAAAGGAAGTAACAGCATAGTCTACAGATCCCATTGTGGTCAGCTATAAAAGAAAAAACACCTGGTGCAGAACAAAGTTTGAAAACCACTGTTCTAGATCACAGTAATATTTGAAAAATAATATACTAGACATGTGAATTGCTACTGTTATAAAAATGAGCAAAGTAGGCCATTAAAAATTTTAAAATATAGTACGTTAGTCCCCCTACATTAATCAGAAAACGTAACATCCATAGATCTAAGTGTCAAATCATTTCTAGTATTGAGAAACAGTAGACTCCTACACAATTTTCCAGTACTTTCAATATACAGCAGCAGTATAAATATTCCTGTGCTTGTCAATAGTAGTCAATAACAGTATTGAAATAGCAGTAACTTATAAAGTAATATAGATATCTTAACCAGTGACAATAAACGTGTATATAATTTTGCAGAACCCTTACAAGCATAGTAAACTTGGTGAAGAAGAAGCTCCTGTCAGTGAGGCTGTAAAGTTTGGATGGATCAAAGGAGTTCTGGTAAGATGATTTAATAAATAAGAAGTCATTTGATTCTCGTGTTATCATTGTGTACCTTATTGTCAAACAATATAGATTTTCTCTAAAAATGAATCAAGGAGTATACAGGGAGTAATAATGGCTGGAGACGGCTTGAATGAGTAATAAAGCAAAACTTTAATTTGAGTTTAACATAACAAGTGTACAATGTGTCGACAAGGTTTTGTCATCATCAGGTACTATTATTAGTCTCAAAGTGGGTTCCTCATCATCAAATTTGAATACAGGGAGTATTTGAAATTGAGAAGATGGGAGATTACCTTTATAAAAGGGAATTTTTGGTTTTTTAACTTCCCATGACTTTAAATTATGAGCTCCTTTTAATTATAAATTGTTTGCTCTATTGTTGTGTTGTCCAAAAAAATATTATTTAGAAATAAAGTCAAAAATCTATAAATTGACACTTCTACTGCATTACATAGGTATTTAGATTGGTTTTTATTAAACAAAATAAATATGTATTTTATTTTTAAAAAAGTACATAAACCCTTTATACACTGCTAGTTAAGGGCTTAATGTAATCTGGTTTCTTGTAGTTTAAATCTAAAGAATGCACCTGATAATGAGCGGAAGGAATTGGCTGAATCTTGTTGATTCAATACCAACATCTGATTAACAATCATCAGACTTTCTTGAATTCTTAATTTCTGGTCATCGTCAGCTTCATTGGCTATGATAGCATTTTTATCTTTAACAGTGACAATGTATTTTGAGAGGATGTTGGTAACAATACCATGTTCTTTCTGAGTTTATATCTATGGATCACTAACAAATATTCCATAAAACCAGTAATATCAAATGCTGTCACATATATTAATTACTGTGTGTAAAGTTTCATAAAAAAATATATTCAAAACTTCACAAGTAATTGACAGTGAAGAACACTTGAGTTTTTGTGACTTATTGTAGAACTTCAGTTTCATCATGATGTGTATAAAGTTAACTAATTTTGAGGCTGAATTTTTGTTGCTGTAACATTCTATTGCAGAAACTGTTATATTTTGATCTAATACTCCTTTTTTTTACTTATTAAATTTCCAAAGGATAACAAGGGGGGGGGGGACAATTGACTTATCTAGTCTTCCCTATTTTCTACTATCAACCTATTACATACTATGTATAGGAACCCCTGTCATATATCTAACCCTGTAACCCTAATCTCTAAAGTACTTGTACAGTCTCCTTCACTGTCAAAGCCTCTGCCACACTTGAAGGTAAACTATTCTATAGACTAACCATTGTATTAGAAAACTAACACTACTTCAAATGGAGTCATGTTTCAGTTTTTACATATATTGAATTTGCATATATTCTCTAGTAATATTGCTTTCAGAATGTCTGTGAAAATGTTACCCAGGTTTATAGATTCTATCAACTCAACATACTTTCATAAATAAGGATTAAAACTGAAAACTCTTCTATATCAAGCCTAGTTAATGGTTTATTTAAATGTCTTTTTATAGTTCAGTGGTCTTATTTATAAGCAGGCTACTAGTGGTGTTAACATTGAACTGAAATTGTTTCAGCTGTATGCATGATTAATTGATTAACAATGGTTAGAGAAATGTCCTCACTACAGACACTATGTTGAAAACAAATGTAAAATTTTTCATTCCAAAAACTTTTGAGGAATTTTTGCAGTATTTAAATATTTAACATCAAAATATGAAATTGAGTGAATATCATTTGAAATTACCCTTTTTAAATACTACACTGTATCAATAACACAGCTTTGGAGTAAGTGTATATCATAAACCAACATTTTCAGAGTTATTGTAAATGCTGTTTCTTACAACACTCAGTTAATTTAATATATGTTTTAGTTAATCTTCAGAATGAGAAAATATGTTGAAGTAAGAATTTCTTAATTTATGAACTTAATAACAATTTAATTGATACTAACAATCTTTGAAATACTTATTCCTAAAAGTTTACATTTTGGTGTTTTTAAAAACTGGATGACCATATGGAGGGCAACATTTTCAATTTGTTAAGAAGTTAATATCACTGTTGAAACTGACAATTTCATAATAGTTTCTAGAATCAAGACCGAACAGTAACCATGAATATATGAGTTTGGTGACCATTAGTGTAAAATTGGTATAGAATTAACAAAATCTGACTTATTCATTCCTTAATGTGGTGATCTTGTTCTACCTTTTACAGTATCAATAGTTGCTTACTGGTTATCATTAAGTGTGAGAAGATAAACTAATATGCATGCATATTTGTAATTTTTGTACATTTGGGATATAAATATTAAAATGTGTACATTTGTAAGCATAGTAGATAGTTCTAAATATTGTCAGATTTTAAATTTTAATTTAAATCTCTGTTACAAATAAATTTTTGATGGTTTCTTTTCCTTCTTGTTTTCAGTTGTCTAGAATAAAGAAATGTCTTTTTTTATATGCTGTTTAGATAAGATGTCTTCTGAACATATGGGGGGTAATGCTCTTTTTGCGCCTCTCATGGGTTGTAGGCCAAGCTGGGATTGGTAAGTTAATTATCAAAGTAAGCATAGATCTCATTAGCAGTACTGGTATGTTGATAATAATGTTTTTTGGTAATAGTTTTGGTGATTTTAAAATTTGTTTATCCAGGTTAATAGTGGTCCATGAACAGTTCTAGTAAGTGTGTTATCCAGGATGTAAGTAGTCTACTAAATAGAATTAGTAAGTTTGGTAATAGAAATGTAATACAGTGACACATATTTGTCAAGGTAGTTTTATGAGTACTAATAAAAAATATTTAATTTTCTACACAAATAAGTATAAAAATTTCAGTCAATGTGTGACCTCTTTTGTTTCCCAATAATATGTTTTGTAATTAGTTAATAGTTCAGAATTGTAGAAAGTAATAAATAAATAAATATATATATATACCTTCACTGCCAGGGAAGCTTAGAAAATTATGGATCTGTTATAAAATATTACTCATTGAAACCCTTTCCTGTAACTAGTAAACATTGATGAATTACACACCATCTGGATAATCTAATGAAGATTAAAACTGTGGTATAAAAACAAACCTTTAAAACAATAGCAGATTGGAAAAGCTAAACAAACTGCTTTTATTATTGTAAATATTTGGCCAATTTTTGCACTCTACTAGAGAAATTGAATCTTTACCATATAGATTATAAGTATTAGAATATTGATGTAAATTCTATTTTTTTTTGAAAGATAGCTTGAGTAATCACAATGTTTTATATAAGCACAAGATGCTTCCACAGTGCATGAAAGGAGATTTTCCTTTATTAATTATATGTATTCCTTTGTATCATATTACTCAACTAAGTGTACTCTGGCATTGAATAAACCATATTTTAATTAAATTGATCAGTAGTAAGTTAAGCAAATAAGTAACAATCAAAATTTCATTAGAAATATTATTCAGATGTATTTGAATAAACTCTTGTTTTGCTCTTATTGCATAAATGTCTTTTTCCATACTGATTGCCCCAAAACATCTAGCTCAAAAATGCCTGTACAGATTTCCAAACCATTCATAGAGATTGCATGGTTCTAACTTTCAAATACTTAAAATTAGATACTTTTGTTTACACAAATTTAAGAACTATTCTAAAATAGCAAAGGAAAGCTTGTTCAGATGAAAACTAGTCAATCTATGCATTATAAAACACTAATGCTTTTCTGAATTGTTTATTACATTTTTTGTTATTGTTTAAACTTTAACTAATTATCTATGGGTCTCAAGAATCTGTAACAGAATGGCCAATATATGCCCAAGAACTACAATATAACATTGATTGCATGTATATACCAATTGGCATTTTATACTGCTTTAGACAAAACACTAAGAAAACTAGCTTATTTGTTACTACTTGCCTACCTTTCAAAGTGTTCAGACTAATTCTAAGAAAAAAAATTTTATCGTGACAAAAACTGTCACCTTCAACTTTATCCTTTGTAACTGTAGTGATCATAAGTATGATCTGTATGATATGTTCTGATTGTTAAAGGAAAATATAGAAATTTTCAATATACAAATTTTAAGTTCTCCATTGTACTCCTTAATTTTGTGTAAATTTCCACTTAGTTCTTTTTTGAAAATGTGTCTTCTGTTTAGCAAGTTCCTATATTGATTCAATATTAGCAGGAATGAAATTTTCAAAAAGCAGAGGAACTCAGCTGGGTGAAGTGAACCTGAATTTGAAAAAGAAAAAATCTAAGAATCTCAACTAAGTTCCAGTACTCGGTACCGATGAGTACCAGTAGAATTTCACCCCTGGATATTAGGCATTAATCATACTTTTAAACCATGTGATAACTAAACCTTGCTATCAGTTTTGTTTTATTTCACTATTGGTTTTTTTTTCTATGTATTTTGTTTTTAAATTGTCTCAAAAGATCTGTGTAATGCTATGCTAAAGATATTTTTTGTGTGTGATAGGTATATAACATTATAAGTAGTGAAGTAATGTTTATTTCAGTAGATTTAACTTGCATATATGAACACATAAATTCATAAAGTTTTAAATGGACAGAAAGGAGCTTATTAGCCCATCAAGGATGTCTCTTCCAGCTCCCAACTATAACCACCCCCTTACTACTCATGTATTCATCCAGTCTTTTATTTAACTCAGTTGAATTTTCTGCCTCCTTCTCCCTTGTAGGCAGCTCATTCCAAAAGCCAACCACCTTGATTGAAAAGTAATACTGTTTAAACTGCAGACAACTCATACACTGACAAAATTTGAATTTATGACCTCTTGTCCTATTGTTTTTACTGCTAAACACAAAGTTTGATGCCTCTATATCATCAATACCCTTGATAATTTTAAACACCTCAATCAAATTCCCTCTGACCCTTCTCTTTTCTAGAGAAAACAAGTCTCTCCTCATAAGACAATCTCACCATCCCAGGTATCATCCTAGTGGCTCTTCTCTGAACCTTCTCCAACAATTCATTGTCCATCTTGAGGAAGGGAGCCCAAAACTGTACACAGTGCTGTAAATGAGGCATTACAAGTGATCTATACAGTGAAACAATAATATCCCTTGTCTTGTATTTAATATTTCTATATATTCTACACAAAATCCTATTAGCCCTATTGCTAGCTACAATACACTGTTTGGATGACTTAAGTGATTTTTCAGTCACAACACCAAGATCTTTTTCTTCAACCACAGTATTTAATGTATTCCCATTTAAGTTGTAACAATTTGAATTGTGAAAACCTACATGCATCACCTTACATTTTAGATAGTTAAACATCGTCTGCCACATATTGGCCCAATGCATAAAAATGATCTGAATTTTGCTGTAAGTCTGCAGCATCTTTGATACAGTTAGCCACCCCAAAAATCTTAATGTCATCTGCAAAGTTCAATATTTTGATAGTCATTCCAGAGTCAATATCATTAATATATATATGTCACAAACGGCAGAGGACCCAGCACAGAGCCCTGAGGCACACCACTTTTAACTGTGATCCAGTCAGATCTAACTTCATTTATTACTACTCTTTGCTTCCTGCTCTTCAGTCAGATCTATCTCCATTTATTAGTACTTTCTGCTTCCTACTCTCCAGCCAGTTTTCTATCCAATTTAATAACATTTCCCCCACACCCACAGATTTCATTTTTGTAACAATTCTGTTGTGAAGCACCTTATCAAATACTTGCTGAAAATCAAAGTAAACCAAATCCACAGTATTTCCTTCATCAACGCTTGCAGTAACATCCTCAAAGAATGTCAGAAGATTTGTTAAACAAGATTTTCCCTTAATGAAACAATGCTGGCTCTTTGACACTATATCAAACTGCTTTAAGTGACTTTGCAATGCATCTTTAATCACACTTTCCGAAACCTTTCCAAGTACTGATGTAGGACTAACTGGCCTATAATTTTCAGGACAATGTTTATCATATTCTTTACATATTGGACTAATATTAGCCAACTTCCAATCTTCTAATACTCTTCCACTACTCAATGACCTATAAAAATATTAGCTAGTGGTTCACAAATAAAATCTTTAAGTTCCTTTAAAACTCTAGGTTAAAAGTTGTCCGGTCAAGGGGACTTATAAATTTTTAGGATTCCCAACTTTTCTCTTACAATTTCAGAACTTAAAATGATATCTTTTACATCAATATTTTCCCCATACATTAAGTGCTCTGGTTGAGGCATAATACTTGTATCTTTCTTCATAAAAACTGCAGAGAACTTTTAATTTAATAAGTTTACCATCTCATAATCTTCCAAGATCTGCTCCCCAATATCATTTTTAAGAGGCCCAATTCCCATCCTGACATTCTGCTTACCCATTATATAAGAATTCCTTATTGTTTGATTTAACTCTCTCAGCCAACCTTCTTTCATATACAGTTTTTGCCCTTTTAGATTCCTTTTTAACCAGCTCTCTTGATTTCCTATAGTCCTCCACATCTTTATTATTTCCAGTAGGTTTAAATTTCTTGAATTATTATGTTTATCCCTAATATGATCTCTTAAACCTTTACTGTCTTGTTCCACTCCGTTGCCCCCTTTTTTTCTGCAGGGAATATGTATATTCTGTATGCGTATCAATTTTTCCCTAAATACTTCCAACATCTGTTCAAGATCCCCTCCCAACTCTTTAGTCCAATCTACAGAAGGCAGATCATGTCTCATTCCATTAAAATTGTCCTTTCTGAAATTCAGAATCAGGGTACTATTCTTGCTTAATTCTACATGTAGTAAAATCCCAAATCTAATAGTGCAATGGTTGCTTGTACTTAAATGCTCACCAACCACAACTCTGTATTTCATATTCACATCAGATGCTAATATTAAATCTAATATAGCTTCCTCTCTTGTAGGCTCCATCAACAGTTGGTGTATAAAAGTATCCTGAACATTTCCAAAATTCTACTCCCCCCCCCCTACTGTCAGACTCAAAATTTACCCAATCAGTACCTCTGAAATTAAAAAACTCCCATAATAACCATCTTTTTCAGCTATCATTCTGATCTCATTATAACAAATCCCAATTACAAGACTTCCCTTTATATCCTCTAACACTAACTCAAACTGACTCAACCTCAGTGCTATTTTCTTTGATATGCTCTAACTCAACAGGATGCAATTCATTCCTTACATATAAAGCTACTCATTCTCTTTTTTTCAATACTTTATCTCCCGTAAATAATCTGTAGACTGGTATTTCTCTCATCAAAATTGTTCAAATCCAACCAAGTTCCAGTGATACCTGTAATATCAAAATCCTCAGTTTCCACAACTGCTTTAAACTCATCAATTTTATTTTTAATACTTCTAGCATTACAACAATAACAGTTAATCATATATTTTCAACTACGTTCATGTTCAATGCCTGTTGTACATGTTTTTTTGTCAATTATATTTCCTATTTTACTAATATCATAGCCCTCACCTCTGTCTATCCCCAGTTTAAATCTACCACTACAGCTGAGTTAATAGCCGTAACTAACACGCTAGCCCCTGCCTTGTTTAAGTATAAGCCATCCAATCCAAAAACATTAACTTTCCAGTTAAAATTATCTCACAAATCCACCCAGCCTGTTTGCTCATCCCTACATATTGATCTGAGCCTGGCATTCAATCCTAGTGGCCTACTTAGTATCTCATCCCCATAATTTATTCTTGGCAATATCCTTTACAAAATCAAGCTATGACCACTTTCCTTAAATGCCCTTATCAATATCTGATACTTATCAATATGCTTGTCAGATCCATCTTTTCTTAAATCATTAGCCCCAACATCTACCACAAAAACTGCATTGCTACTAGCACTCTTAACTAGCTCTCTGGTTTTATCAGTTATATCCTGTAACCCTGCTCCTGGATAGCATAAGCTTATTCTTTTGCTTCTATTTACTCCACATACTACTCTATCTATATGCCTAACTAGAATCACTTAAACTATAACTTTCCTATCCTTTACACTATCATTCCTTGTGATATCATTTGTTTCCCTTACCTGCTTCCCCTCATTACTGCAAATAATAAACAGTACAAGAAATATTTTAGATGTATAGATAAAACTGTGCACATCAAGTTTTGTATAACACAAATATAGGATTTTCTAGACTTGTTATGAAATTTTTCAATGCTTTACAGTAATATATTTTTCTCTCTCAGGAAACATTGAAACATAAACAAAAACAAAAAAGGATTGTTTTTGTTTTTATTTCAGGTCTAGCCCTTGTTGTTGTGGGTTTAGCTACAACAGTAACATTACTGACTAGTTTGTCTATGTCAGCAATATGTACTAATGGAGAGGTACGAGGAGGTAGGAGATAAAATTTTTATAAATTGTTGAACTAATATTGATTTACATTTCAGGTCTAGCCCTTGTAGTTGTTCTCTTAGCAACGGTGGTTACTATTTTGACAACTTTGTCTATGTCAGCCATTTGTACAAATGGGGAAGTCCGAGGAGGTAAGTAATCGGTCCAATTATACTAGCCTATCTTCTTGCATGCTGCATAAGGGGATTAATACTAACCTAAGTCAAGGTGTCTCTCTGTTCTATTCTGAAGTGTTTTTCGTTGCATTCACATGTGTAAGTAATAGTTATGAATTAGAGGGAGTGATGAATGAAAGAAATAGCTTTTGTAATGTTGATTGGAATTTATTAAAACGTTCTAATGGTGGCTAATATGTTTTTAAGTGTTAAAATGTACAAACAATTGGGTTGGAACATGTGTATATGTCTGCAATGTATAATAAGAATAAACATTTAGTTAAACATTTGTTATTTCTTAGAACAAAATAATACTGCTAAAAATACATTAATTTTAAAGATTTTGTAAAACAAAGTACCTTTACATATTACATTTAAAAGTATTTAATTTGAAAATACATTTCAAAAGAATCTATTTCTGAAACCCACTACACAAGTAAAAAAACAAAAATTGTGTAGTCTAAAATCAATTCCTTAATTGTTGAGGCAAAAGTAGATACCTATAGTGTATGATTGCAAAGAAATGCATCTCTGACAGGTCAGAAATTATGTGACTAAGTTACAAGTAAAGTGGTCTGTCTGTTTGAGTAACAGCATGGTGTGTAAAAATTAATGGTTGGCAAACTGACTCTGCCGTCGTTTTCTGTGGAGTTTAAATTAACTGCATGTTATATAATTCAAAAGAACTGCATGTCCCTATCAAGCTTCATTTGTAATCAGAATGAAACTGATGTGTAAAGAAATGTTTACAGGCTAACCAGTATTTTTACACACACACACACACACACACACACACAATTATTGCTTAAATTGAATAAAAAAATGTTTGTGTCTCTAGTATTCAGTATTATTTCTAGTATATATATATATATATATATATATATAATTTTAATTT